TGCTAAATTTTTAAAATTTTAAGTAAAAGTTTAATGAGGGAAGTATCCGTAAACATGTAAGATGCAAATCGGCCTTTCATTATACTGTTAAATTTTTCCCATATTCAATACTCTGGTAATGTTTTTAAATTAATGTTTTTGGATTAAACAAAAAGGAGGCCCATGCTATATTTTATCAAAAGACTATATTTGCCAGCATTATTTGAACTACAAAGCAACGTACAGGTCAACATCAACTGTGATGATATTATAAAGCCCAGAGCACGTACTTACTTCACAGGTCCTGAGTTTTCAAACAGAAAAGCTGTGAGTGCATTGAATAAAGAAGAGGGTGAAAACAAGAAGGAAAATACTATAAAAATAATGTTCGTTGAGAATAGTCAAAAGATAGAGCCAGACCCCTCAATTTTTTATATATTTTGTGCCAAAGAACATTCAATTAATCCAATCATAGAGTATGAGGACATATTCTTTAATCCAAAAATACTAAAAATAGTCTTAGAAATACAGTTCTATGTATTTGTAAAGAATGTGTTCAACGTAAATCCCTTAAATATTTCAATAAGCACAAAAGACGTGGGTACAAACTTCAGTGCCGTAATACACCCTACTCTCTTTGCAGTGGCAGTTTACATACTCTACAGGGCTTGTAGACGAATTATCTTTAAGCTGTCAAAGATGGATCCAGTCTATACTGACTTTAATATTGTGTCATCAAATGTTAAGAAATTCAAGGATCTAGAGGAAAAGCCCATGCCTCAATGCAGTATATGCTTTGAAGAGTTTATTCCTGATGACGATGTCAGAATACTTGACTGTAAACACTATTTCCACCCCTCATGTATAGACAGATGGCTCATTGGGCATTCGAAGAGGTGTCCCTGCTGTAGAGTAAATATCGAAATTAATGAACGAGTGTAAATCATTAAATTGTATAACGTATGATGTATGCTACACATTCATGTTGGTACATTGTTTTGGCTCAAAGCATATTAAAATAATGTGTCAAATCAATGTTAGATACTACGTTACTGTTGTGTAGCCTGCTTGTTTAATCTATAATTTTGACATTTCGCTTAATAAACCTA